AGGGTGTCAGAGTGCGACTTACTTTGGCAGAGCACGATGGTGACAACCAGAACTACAAGGAGCACGAGGCAGACGCCAGCAAGGGGAGCCCAGATGTAAATCTCACAGTAGAAATTCAGCACGTTCTTGTTGCTTGTTCCTGCAGGAAGAAAGGAGAGGAAAGAGGAAAGGCCCGTCTCCCAGCTGTGCTGATGTCCAGCTGTGGCAGAGCCACTGGGAGGTCCTGCAGCACAGAGCTGCGTGGCTCTGAGCGAGGCTGGCGGTAGGTGTATGTGAGGAGAGGACTTCCACAGGGCACAAAGGGGGTGGTGGTGACATCCCCAGTTGTGGGCTGATGCTGTTGGCGTTGTGCTGGGGAGCTGAGGGAGGACATGTAGCCAGAAGTCCTCTCGGGTTTCCTTCTGGGGCTAAAACCAGTGCTGGCTCAAAATGCTTTCCCTTCTTTTGGTGTTGTCCAGTCATCAGAATTCCTGTGCCTCTTAAGTCACCCCGAGTGGGAAAAAACTTGGGGTTGGAATCATGAAATCACTGAGGTTTAAAAAGCCCACTAAGAAAATCTAGTTCAAGAATGGCCCACTAACCCATGTCCCACAGTGCCACATACGCTCATTTCTTGAATACCTCTGGGAAAGGAGATTTCATCTCTTCCCTGGGCAGCACATGCCATAATGGCTTTAGTTTCATCCCCTCATCAGCATCTCACTGATGAAGCTCAAGGTATTTCCCCTCACCCTGCATCCCAAAATGCCTGTAGTCAGCATAGGCCTTTATTTCATTTATCCACAGCTGGGTTACCTGGATCTGAGCTCTGCATGCAGATGTCTGTCTTGGTGATCTGGCTGCTCTGGTTGGTGGCAGCAGGTGTGGTGGGTGCTGATGTTGTTGTGACTAAAAATAAATTGGATGAATACAGTGAGATAGAATACAAGAGCTTTCTCTCACCCCAGCTGAAACATGGCCACCACAGGAAGGATTTTCAACAGTGATGCCACAACATGCTGCCAAACCATATGAATTGAGTGCTGTGGTCTCCTAATTTCTCAACAGTGCCCCGAGCCTCTCTGAGGAGGAGCAGTGCGTGTGTGATGAGATGGCTTGGCAAAGAAGCAGGGACATGGGGAGTGTGGGCAATGGGCGGATGGAGAAGGCAGGGGCAGGGGAGGTGGGTGTAAGCGAGGTGGGTGAAGCTGCTGCTGACCTGGGAAGAAGGCAGGTTGTCCAGAGCTGAAGTGCAGCACCTGGTTGATGTTGCTAATGCAGAAATAGGTGCCCTGGTCCTGTGCCTTGAAGTTCTTCACCACCAGCCGAAAGGAGTTTTCTTGTTTTGACCCCTCAAATTGTGAAGATGTTGTCTTGCTCCCTGGGTAGGTGGTCCGGGAAAACACGGAAATGTAGACGATGAAGTGAAGTTTCCCATCCTTGTCCTGTCGGACCCAGGAAACACCGCTGTCCTTGTCATAAGGCAGGCACTCCAGCTCCAGCTGCTGTCCCTCCTGGGGGTGCTTCAAATTCCTGTTGAGGAATCTGGCCTCCATCTTGTTCCTCTGTCCCTGGGCACTGGTGCAGCCTGTGGGCAGAAGTCGGCCATGTCCCCTCAGGTGCTGCTCAGGAAGAGCTCCTGGAGCCTTTGGGCAGGGCTCTTCACCACCGGTGTGGTGCGTGGCAGGCAGGCAGCCGGGCTGTGAGGGTAAATGTGGTGGAAGGGCCTTGGCGTCCAGCTTGGGTGCTGTGCTGGAGTCCCTGTGGACTTAGCGTTGAGAGCGCCGGGCTCTTGAGATGGATGCTGCCTTTCAGAGCAGCCCTTCAGCTGCCTTCTCAGGGCTGCCGCCATTTCCCAGCTTCTTTGCCAGGTGATTCCCCACTAACAGCTGCTACATGCCCCTCTCTCCCCTTTCCCATCCCCTCCAGCATCCATCCCCCCTGCTGCATAACACACTGCAGTCTCACTGCTCCCACTTCCTTGCGCAGTCACTGAGCAGACCTAAATTCCATCCTTCCTGCTTCCATACTCACAGAGCCCCAGGCTGAGCAGGAGGAGCAGTGCAGGAGACCCGGCCATGGTCCTCAGGGCGGTGCAGCGGAGCGCGGGTGATGTTGCTCACTGCACTTTGGAGGCAGCTTATGTAACTTATAGGAGAGGATGTGATGTCATCAGGACCCTCTGCTGTGAAGAGCCATTGTTCAGCCTCTTAGGTGGAATAGCATGAGAAAAGATTTCTGAAGAGCTTCAGTTGTGACCCAAGTCTTGCTGCTTGCTTATTCTTGCAGCATTGTATTTAATGGCGCTTCTGGGATTTTGCTGCAGTGTCCTCAGCTGAGATTCAGACGGACGACGTTCCTCCTTTAAGTCAGATCAGTGGCTGCAGACTGCTGTCTCTCAGACTTTTGGGCCACTCTCTCATCATGTGCAAATCTGCAGAATGCAAAGTCCAGTCCTGTGTTGTGAACATGGACTGCAAGTTGTATTTCTTGGTAGATATTTTATTTTATTTTATGTGTTCACTTCTTTTTGCAGATTAAAGAAGACCTGGGTATGTTTTACAGCATCTCTCCACCTGCACTTTTCATCTGCGAGCCCATGCATTGCTGATACGTATCTGGGTACTTCAGCTCTGTTGTTCTCTGCAATTGTTCTTTGTTATTTCTCTGCAGAAGCCACTGTGTGCAAGGCAGGAGGTCTGTGATGTGACACCCACCAAGGCAGCCCCGTGCCCCAGTGGCATTCAGGTCTAAAGAACAAAGAGTTACCCTGTGCTTTTTTTTTTTCTTTCTCCAACCACAAGGACTTCCGCCATGCCAAAAAACCTCTCCATACATGCTTCAACATTCAGAGGCCAGCCTACCATCTCTAGGTGACCACACACACTGGTAAGGGTTTTGACTTCCTGCAGCTTAGCACATACTGTCTCAACAGCTTTGCTCTGCTGCTACTTCATTCTTTTTTTTGGTATTTTCTGGCTTCCTTGCTTTTTCTTCTGTTCAGTGTGGGAGGTGTTGTTCCATCACTCCTTTGGAAAGCACACCCCTGCTCCTGGCTGTGAGAAACCTGGCACTGCCGAGTGATGAAACTGCTGTTTTTTTTTGTGGAAAAAGAGCTGGACAATGAAGAACGCAACAAGACAGTGCATTGGGTCAAGCAGCTTCACCTCAGCAGCAAGTGTTCCTAACTTGTACACCGGTGACCAACTCTGCCATGGAGCGATGAGCTGGTTAATGAGAAGAAATAAGGAATCCCTTTGACTTCAGCCTATTTTCATAAGGCACTTAGTTCTCTATTCCAGGCATGCCCAACCTGTGGTCTGCACGCTGCCCGGCCCAGCCCGGCCTGCAGCCGCCTCCTGCCCCGTGCCATCATGGCAGCAGCTCTGCCCCGCTGGGCAACCCGGCCCTCTGTGTGCACCCATCACTGACACAGGCACACAGCAGGGTGAGATTGGCATCAGCTCCACCAGGACATGGGCAGGGCACGGTGCTGTGCTATCTCCACCTCTGGCACCCAGCACACGCTCAGTCAAATAAGAACCTGTGTGTGTTACCCATGTGTGCCACTGGGTGACTGAGACACAGTAATTACCCATAGCAACTATTCAGCCTTCCTGACGTCTTCTCAAGACATAACAGAACCCTCAAATGAAGAAAAATTGTGGTTGAAGGAGAAGTATTCAGTGAGAAAGGGATGGATGAGCACTTCTTTGTTGAGGTAAAACTGAGTTACTGCTGTTGAGTTTAACCTCAGATGGACTCGGCTATAAAGGCCAGTGATGTGGTGGCAAATCTGATGGCAGAAGCAGCAAAACCATCTGCTGGTGGTGAGTTTATTGAGCAGTGCACAGACAGCATCACAGATGCAATCTGCCCTAATTGAAACAGGGATTTCTCTAAAATCAGTTCTCACTCAACTCTTGCCGGGTGGACTGAAGAAATGGACAAATCTGTGGCAAGAAAGTCGCGTAGCAAAGCTGTTAATTTCAGAAGCTGTCCTTTGCTGACAGATGAAATTACTGATGCTACAGATGCCTCCTGGTGCTACTGATGCTGCGGGAGGTGTGCAGTGCTGGTGGGCAGCACAGGAGGAGCAGCCAAACGGCGGCGCTGCATCAGGGCAGCTGTGTGTGCTGCTGGTGGGATCAGTGCAGTGCTGGAGGAGGACGCCTGTGTGCCTTCTGCTGACTCAACTTGCTGTTTTCATGGAAGGAAGTGTTAAAAACTATGATGTTACTGAAGAAATGGCTTCCTTGGTACCATTAAAAGGCATGAAGAAATCCTTTGATGCGGACAAAGCAATAAAAATGGCGTAAAAGTGATTTTATTTAACCTTTGTTGACACATCTGGTAGAGCTCCTGATGGCACCCAGGCAGTGGTTGGTAAAAAAGTGGGACTTAAAAAATTTATAGAAGACAACGGATTTGCTGCCAGAAATCCAGGTTTGGTGAAACATCTCTGCATGGTACATCAGGGAAATATATGCAGAAAGGCTTTAAAAATGGGGACTGTCCTGTCAATTGTCATCAAATGTGTGAATTTCATGAAGCCCAAGGGATTGAACCATCACCAGTTCCAGGCACTCCCTAAAAGTACAAACGCTGATAAGGGAGAAATCATTTACTTTTGTAAAGTAAGGTGTGTAAGTCATGGTAAAATGCTAAGCAGTTTTAGGATTTGCAAACTGAAATGAATTGATTTCTGGAATCAAAAGGAACATTTGTGTAGGAACGTGAGACTGAAAACTTGTGACAGTTTTAATGCTTCTGGTGGATATGGCCTCTCATTTAAGTAAGTTAAACATGTGTCTTCACGGCGTAGACCAACTTACCTGTGCTGTGTTTCGAGTCATAGCAGTGTTCAAAAAGAAACAAATGATGGGTGGTTCAAGTTACGGCAAATGAACTTACACACTTTGATATGTCAAGAGAAAGGAAGTTTCAGTTCTGCAGGACCTCCCTGCCTTTAAATACAGAAGCAAAATGGGTCAATGTATATGGAGTCTGTAGAGCTACTGGTCTGTGTTCAGTTTATTCATGACTAAGAATTAAGCAAGGGCACACGCAAAAAGGGAGGGACAAAATCCTGCAGACAACGTACAGGTTGACAAATCGAGGAACGCGGCCCAGCAGGAGGTGAGTTGACATTTTCTTCATGCCTGTTGAGGAGATTTCAGGTGGAAAAGGGAGTAGAGAAATCCTGTCCTGGACCCTGGTCAAGCATGAAGTTATTTCAGCAGACTTTGGAGTGGCCCTTCCAATGGATCTTTTCTTCTTTCGAAACACCAGTGGGGAAGGTGGTGGCATGTTCAGACTCTTGGCCTTCCTGGAAATAGTTAAGCCAAACAACTCAGAGAAAGAGACAAAAGTTACAACCATTTAATGGAAAAAATATTGCAAAATAGAGAGAGACTGGGGCATCAGAGCTGAGTACTGATATGCTTGGTTTCTTGGTGATCCATGGAAGGCTCAGCTGTCCAGCACCGCGGTGCCTTTTGCACAGCAGCACGGAGCTGCCCGGCTTCTTCGGGTCAGCGCTGTGCCCGCGGTCTGGCTGTGTCACAGCAGTGTGGGGCAGGAGCACATGTCAGGCCGCGGGAGGTGTGCAGTGCTGGTGGGCAGCACAGGAGGAGCAGCCAAACGGCGGCGCTGCATCAGGGCAGCTGTGTGTGCTGCTTGTGGGATCAGCGCGGTGCTGGAGGAGGACGCCTGTGTGCCTTCTGCTGAGCAGCGACGCAGCACTGCTTGCTTACGCTGAGCTTGGTCCTGCAAGCGATCGGCTTGTGGTGAGCGCGTGTGACGCGTGGCTGTGCTGATTGCAGCACTGCTGACCCTGCCTGCTCTTAGCATAGGAGCATCTGATCTCATTAGCAAGGAGGAATCTGAAGCATCAGTGAAGATTTCTGAATTTAGTCTCAAATCACAATCTTTTACTTTAGATGGCTGATGCCTCTTTTAGGATGGTTCAGACTAAACACACCTACCTGTGCTTTTAGGCAGACTCTCTGAAGGCCCTGTGTCTGCTCTGGTGGTTCAGTGCTGACTTAGAGCCTTTCAGTGTGAATCCCTCTGAATGATTTCCTTCCCCTTTGTGTCATCTCTTTTATTTCTGAAGGTTCTTTTTAGCAAATTACACCATTGAGCCATGAATTTTAACAGAAAATGTACGTCTTGTAGCAGTGTGTCTTTGAGGGTTTGTTCTGCATGCTGCAGAAATTATTGCAACTAGTGGATTTGCTCTGGTAATTTGGATCAGCACAAAGTGGCAGAAATCAATGGTTGAGTAATGTTTTTGTTCTGATGCTTCCAACCCAGATACCTATTTTAGCCAATGCAGTTTATTAGAATAAGTTTTCACTGCTTATATTCTATTTGCTGCTAGCACGGAATGTGATAAATACTTCTGGTGATAAACTTGGAGATGGGGAAAATCTGGATAGGAATTTTAAGAGCATCTTTCTGCATTCCCTGTGTCCTGGATACGCAATGTCTGCGTGGGGCAGTAGGCAGAGAGTTCACTCCCCTGGGGAGTGGGCTGTGCTCTGTGGTGTGAGGCTCCAGGAATCTCTGCAGGGTGTCAGGATGCAACTTACTTTGGCAGTGTGTGATGGTGATGGTGATGGCAGTGAGGAGCAGGAGGCAGGCACATGGCAGGTTTACCCACATGACTATTTTGTGACAAAAGTGTGATGTGTTCTCATTGCTTATTCCTGCAGCAAGAAAAGAGAGGAAAGAGGAAAAGCCCAGCTGCAGACATCTGCTTGCATCTTGAAATCACCTGAAGTCAGCGCAGACTTTAATTGGGCCTCTTATGACCAAAGCAGCACTGCTGGCAGAGCCTCTGCCTCCCCATTGCTGGGTTACCTGTATTCGGGCTGTGCTGGGAGATGTCCTCCGTAGTGACCTGGCTGCTTTGGGCGGTGGCTGCGGGTGTGGTGGGTGCTGCTGTTGTTGTTGTGACTGGAAGAAGAAATGAGTGAATACAGCAAAATAGAATAAAACCGCCTTCTGCCACCACTGCCAGGACAAGGCAGGACAAGGGTGGAACTTCATAGGTCCCATTTTGAAAAGTGATGCAGTGAAACACTGCCCAACCATGGAAATAGAAGGCTGAGGGTTCCTACTTCCTGAGCAGCACATGCAGAGATCCTTCTAATTCAGAATAGAGCTTTGAGAGACCAGGGAATCTTTTCTTTGCATAGTCCAACCCACACCTAACCTCTGAGTTACTTTGTGGGATGTTTCCAGCATTCAGGATTTGTTAGGACAATCTGGATTATTGTGAGGTGAGGAAGGATGTGGGAGCTGCGGACGTTGTAACTCTCATCGCTCAGAGGCACAGATGGGATGGGGAGGAGCTGCTGGGGCTATGCGACCACCTGTGTGTCTGGGCATGGCTGGTACTGCCAGCGGAGCTGGAGGGCAGGGAGCCTCTCTGGGGAGGAGCAGTGCGTGTGTGATGAGATGGCTTGGCAACGAAGCAGGGACATGGGGAGTGTGGGCGATGGGTGGATGGAGAAGGCAGGGGCAGGGGAGGTGGGTGTAAGCGAGGTGGGTGAAGCTGCTGCTGACCTGGGAAGAAGGCGGTTTGTCCAGAGCTGAAGTGCAGCACCTGGTTGATGTAGCTGATGCAGAAATAGGTGCCCTCATCCTGTGCCCTGAAGGACTTCACCACCAGTCTGAAGGTGTTGTCTTTCAGTGATGCCTCAAACTGCGTAGATTTGTTGTCACACCAATAATAGGTAGTAGAGTACCGTGGGTAGCAGGAGACAATGAAGTGAAGTCTCCCATCTTTCTCCAGGCGGATCCAGAAGAGGGGTCTGTATCTCTCGTAATGCAGGCACTCCAGCTCCAGCTGCTGTCCCTGCTGGGGGTGCTTCAAATTCCTGTTGAGGAACCTGGCCTCCATCCTCTGTCCCTGGGCACTGGTGCAGCCTGTGGGCAGAAGTTGGCCATGTCCCCTCAGGTGCTGATCAGGAAGAGCTCCCGGGGCCTTTGGGCACAGCTCTTCCCCACCGGTGCGATGCGTGGCAGGCAGGCAGCCGAGCTGAGAGGGTGAATGTGGAGGGAGAGCTGCGGCGTCCAGATCTCAAGATGTATGCTGCCCTTCAGAGCAGCCCTTCAGCTGCCAGCTTGGGGCTGCTGCCATTTCCCAGCTTCTTTGCCAGGTGATTCCCCTCTAACAACTGCTTAATCCCCCTCTCTCCCCTTCCCCATCCCTTCCTGTCTGACACCTGTCTGAACAGGCTCTGTTCCTGCTGCTTATCGCACTGCAGTCCCACCGCTCCCACTTCCCTGTGCAGTCACTGAGCAGCCCTAAATTCCATCCTTCCTGCTTCCATACTCACAGAGCCCCAGGCTGAGCAGGAGGAGCAGTGCAGGAGACCCGGCCATGGTCCTCGGGGCGGTGCAGCGGAGCGCGGGTGATGTTTCTCACTGCACTTTGGAGGCAGCTTATGTAACTTATAGGAGAGGATGTGATGTCATCAGGACCCTCTGCTGTGAAGAGCTGGCATTCAGAAAAGAATGATTTCTGCAGCACTTCAGTTGTGATCCAGAACTTGGGCTGAGATTTTTTTAAGGTGCCTCAGGGATTTTGCTGCAATGTCTTCAGTTGAGGTTTTGACTGACAATGTTCATTCTTGAAATCAAATCAATCATCACCAACAGCTGTTTGAAACATTTGGAGCACAATCATCATGGCCATATTAGCAGATAACAAGAACAAGTCCCTTCCTGTTGACAGGGATTGCAAGTTGTATTTCATGCAGTGGATTTTATTTTAGTGCATGTCATTATATTCTATTTAGCAATTTAGCCATGTGTATTTCTCATCT